CCATAATGACTGTCACATGATTCAACAAGATTTAATCAAAAGAAAGTGAATGATGTATATTTCACTCTCTATATAAATTTCAAACATAAGTTATCCAGTAACTACCATATCTCGCAGCTAAGCCCCAGTAACGAGCAAGCCAACACCTCTTAAGGACAACTTCTTCCTGTAATTGAAATGCATAAAGGAAGTAATCTTCTAATAAAATGTGAAAGCCTCCTCATATTTTGCAAGAATTTAAGCACATACCATCTCGTTTTGAGTTAAGACCATTCTTTGAGTCATTGAACGAAGGGCTTTAACTTCAGATTCAGCTCCGTTAAGTTGGCTTACAACGGTTGTCGCTTCATCTTTAGCATTCTAATTCAAGCAAAATTAATACATAAAATAAAGCCTAAGGGAATGCAGCATAGAAACAGCAAAAGTTATTGTATTCATTTAGAGGATGAGAAGATCATAATATAGGAAAACCACTTGCTGATATTTACCTCAACTTCAGATCTAAGAGACAAAATCTCCTTGTCTACAACATCCTTGGTTTGCTTTGCATCCTTAAGTGCAGCCTGTGAAGATAAAAGAAAAGGAAATGAATTCTTCTTCTTTTGCATTATCTTGAAGTTGAAGCAAATATTAATGGTGAAAAAAAATGCATTTCTCATTCTCAGATGGAAAGTGTCAAGTTTATCACAATAGATGAAACTCAAACTTCAACTCATTTGTGGTCTAATGATGAGGCTGAGTTTTCCTTTCTCAAGTCGACATTAAATAAGGCTTAAGGGATACTTTTTTCATGTAGTAGACCCAATTTATTATTTTTCGTCCCTTCAGTATTTTTGCATCAGTTTAGCCCTCAAAGTTGTTTAATTGCATCAATATTTAAAATATTTTTTATTGTTTAGGGGTTTAAGTTTTAAGGGTTAGTGTTTAGGATTTGGGGTTCTAAGTTAGGGTGCAAGGTTTAGGATGATGCAATTAAACAACTTCAAGGACTAAATTTATGCGAAAATACCATAGGGGCAAAAATGATAAATTGGGTGTACAGTGTACTACAGGGGCAAAAGTAGCCCTTAAGCCAATAATTAAAAACTGAAATATAGCTGGCAAGCCTAGAATTAGCCATTTATCCACAAATAGAGCAAAACCCAAATTTTCAATCACCTCTCTTTGACGCAATGCAGCTTCTTTCCTGTAGATGGTAACATAAGATGTTAGAAAAAGGTAAAGAAAACTAAAGTGGATAGAAAAAGATATACCTTAAAGTTGTTTGAACCAAAATCTACCTGCTTAACAGTTTCGCTTCCAAAGATACCCCTTCTCCAAGAGCAGCAACCTAAAAACTCAGGAGAAAAAAGGAACAAGTAAATCACCTTTATATGATTAAGGTCGATATGGGTTACTACCGTTGTTTATTCTCTAAAGCCAATAGGAATGATAGATATGTTCTAACACTTACATAACAAGAGTTAGAAACTCTAAATAAGTCAATGTCGACTTTACATTTTGATTATTACTATGAAGAAATGATTCTTTAAGGAATTTAAACTTCACTTACATATAAAGCTACACATTACTTCAACCACTCACTAAATTTAGAACTGAGAAGATGTACCAAATAAAGTTATATAATTTAAAAAATCTTTAAGATTACACATATTTTAGCATCCCTAAATTGTATTTGAAAGGATCCAGTAGTTAGAGCTTAACTTTGAAGGTATTAAGCACTCAAGGGATTACGAAGTCATATTTCTGAAATAGGTGAGAACTATTAACCAAGGTACCATCCACCACTCTAAGAGGATTTATGTGGCATAATTATAGAACATAAAATTATCAATAACACTTCAAATTATGGATTTTCAGATAAGATTTTATGCAAAAGAAACTTATAGAACTTGATATATAACTTCTACAAAAATATGATCATTTAAGTAGTTTTTGAGAAATATAAAGTTACTTATTTGAAGAAAATTAAGGATAACAAGATAAAAAATTTAATTAATAGTTACCTGTTTTTCAAGCTCTCTAACTCTAGCCTCCACTTCCTTGCACCTTTCTTCCTCAAGTCTGAGCTGCAACATTTTTTCAAGAATCATTCAACTACAATCAAACGATATTAGAGAACATGCTACATGTTAAATAGACAAAGTAAAAGAATTGCACACCTTATCTAGGATATTCTCATTTTCTTCTTGCAGCATATCAAGCTGCATGACAAATAATTATCAGTTTCACAGATGGAAAATTAAGAACGCATTTTTTCTCTGAATGACAGACACAAACATTTATATTATTAAGGGGTGATTAACATACTTCATCACGAAGTGCAGAAGCCTCACGGTTATCTCTGGTATCTTTTGAGTTAAACCCAATGTCAGATGTAAATCTGCATCCGTAGATGTTTACACAGTTAATTTGCTACATAAATAACCCCGAGCATACTTCTCTTAAAAGCTAGTAGTTCCATACAAACAGATATTAAAAGATGTCCTTTTTGTCTGAATTGTGAAAGAAACAATAGAATTTTTTTTATACAGGTTAAAGAAAAAAGTGATTGCTTTCAAAGCAAGAATTCAATAGTAAAACTTAACCAAGATGGTAAAAATTGCTGCAGCCAGAATTAGATATTTGATATATGCATGCTAAAAGACCATAAAAAGAAATAAAAAATACATTCTCGAAATAAACAATGAACAAGTTGGTGTCCATATATTTGATCATCTAGAAAGTCCTATGACAGAACAAGGAAACTAAATTTCTTGCCTTTGCGTTTTTTACAGTCAGAGATAGAGACATTATGTCCATTGCTACATTTTATACCTTTTCTCTGGTTGCCGGTTTTTCGGAGGCTCAGAAGGTAGAGATACAGCAGTCCTCAGTGATGTTTTATTGGGGGGCGGTACAGGTGGTGCCATTGGAAGAGCGATTGTCGACCTTCCGGCTGATGTTGATCGAACAGTTGATGCTTCCTCTACCAAGTTCCGTGCCAACTAGAAGTATCATCATATTTCCGGTGATCTTTCCACATAGACTAGTAAAGTAATACATCTAGTTTGGAGTTTAACATTAGCAATTGAAGCAAAAAATATTCTTAGATTAACCATAATCCACGCTATTATTTTGATTTTATTAACTCTCCTAATACAAATCTTAATCGACAAATTTAAAATCCTAATTTAGAAATAATACTAAAAATATAGCAACAGAATTTACGACACAGTGCAACTAAAATCAATTTTGTGCCGCATCGTACTCAAAGATCAAATCCGATCTTATTCTTCGCATTTATTAGCATTCTCCTAATACAAATTCTTCACCGACAATTTCATTTCGATCAAACATGAAATCTGAATTTAGAAGTAGCACTAGACATGTAGCAACAGAATTTAAGCTATAAAGGAACTACAATAAACTTTGCGCCGCATCGAACTCAAAGATCAAATCCTATCTCAAAGAAAAAGCAAACGACTAAAACACATAACAGTAAAAGTTTAGCAAATGGAGTAAACTTACGGCAGGTGAAGGAGATCTCCCGATCCTCGTAAAGTTAAGAGCGGCTTTATTACCGGCACCGCCAACTGTAGAAGCGGCGTTAAACTTTCTGGACAGAGCGAGAGGAGGCGGAGCACTATACTTAAAATCTAGATCGTCGCCGTCATCTTCTTCATCGTCTTCATCAGTGGTTTGCGAGGCCATGACCTGAGCCAGCCGCTGAGCCGCAGCTTTCGCGGCAAAGTTTTGCGTGCGCTTGATGCTGGAAATGCCAGTGGCAGATGAAGAACGGGCGTGGTGCGGTGGGTGACGCGCCGGTGACAATGTAGGTGACTCGACACTGCCGCCGGTGCTCCCCGTGCCGGAGTGACTAGTCCACCGGCGCGTGTAGACGGGACTCTCCGTTCGCTTCCGGTCCATCAAACCGAAGTTGCTAAAACTGGAGCTTATTCAGCTTAATTTATTTGTGATAACAATAAATAATGATATAATTCAAAAGAAATTGAGTGATACGAGGTAGGCAGTCTAGATCTTGTTGAAAGGGGAAGTAGCAAGACAGAAGATAAATATGTTTGAGATTTTTTTGCATTCTATTTTTATAATTTAAAGTTTATCCGTTCTGTCAACTGTATTTATGTAATCAGGTAAACTACTTAAATAGTCACTGTCATTTTATAAATGTTCATTTTTGCTCATTAATTTTTGTTTAAAAAAATAATGTTTTAATCATTGATAACGGATGCTTATCTAAGAGGATGTTTGTTTGTCTCTTAATGGAATCATTCAGCGCTGAATGTGAACCGTTTAACATTCAGTGCGTTTGTTTCGCATCTCTGAATGATTCAGTACTAACTGATTCAACAAAACAGTGCTGAATGATTCAGTGCTGACTGATTCAACAAAACAATGTTGAATGATTCAACACATAAGTATATTCTGAATGATTCAAAGCCATTATCAAACAATGTCACATTCAGAGCTAATTCATACTGAGCATCTGAATCATTTAACATTTGAATCATTCAACGCTTAATCATTCTGAAGTAAACAAACAACCCCTAAGATGAACAAAATTTCTTTTTATAAGTCTCTTGATGAGTTTAGAGATAGACTTACATGTAAATAAATAAAGATGATGAACTTTATGTTATGAATAAGTTTTTTACGGCATTTGTTTGATTACGGGGACCTAAATGAAAGCTTCAAAAGAGTTCAGTGACCATTACTATATTTTACCCTTAATTTAATTAAAAATAAGTTTATAGAGATAATTATCTTAGAATATTCAAAAAATGATTAAAAACTTAAAATAAATAATATACAATTTTAATTATTTTTTTGTTGTCTACAAATTCTTTCAAAAGTATAAGACTAAAATGATTAAATTATAATAATAAAGAATTAATTCATAATTTATATGTAATATAAAGACTAACTAAGGAATATAACCCAAACGGCGGGGCAAAACCAGGCGTTTTGAGGAGAATCGAGTTTCGTATACTTTACTCCTTATTCTCTCTCTTTATTACTCCATTTTCCTCTAAAAGAACCCCCAAAATGGAACCCCAGCCCCTGCCACCAGCGGCGGCTCCACTTCCTACAACCACCACGACCGCAATCCTCCCTGCGGTTACCATACCAGCCACCTATCCCGACTCCATTAACTCATCGCCACGCTCCCGTAACACTGACTCAATGGACGACCCATCTCCTCCACTACACTCAAAGATCCGCGTTATGTGCAGTTATGGCGGCACCATCGTCCCTCGTCCTCACGACAAAGTCTTATGCTACATCGGCGGAGACACCCGTATGGTCGTCGTGGACCGCCACACTTCCCTCGCTTCTCTCCAGCGCCGCCTCTCCATTTCTATTCTCCACGGCCGCCCTTTTACTCTCAAGTACCAGCTCCCTTCCGAAGACCTCGACTCTCTCATATCTGTCACAACCGATGAAGACGTCGAAAACATGATCGACGAATACGATCGTACTTGTTCCCAAACATTGTCATCAAACAAGTACACGCGTATTCGCCTCTTTCTTTTCCCTATCAATCCAGAGGGGACCCAAATGTCTTCGCATTCGATGGGGCCGATTCTAAACAATTCGACGAAGTCCGATGAATGGTTTCTTAATGCGTTGAATGGGGAGGGGTTGTTGAGCAGAGGATTTTCGGATTCCGCGACGAAGGCGAATTGCTTGCTGGGATTGGACGATGATCGTCAGGGAAGTGTTGTTGAAGTTGGTCCGAAAGATGAAGGGAGTGGGAGTCAGAAGAATCTGAATTTGAAAAATCAAGATGTTAAGTCGGTTACCGATTCTCCTATAATTGAAACTAATTCCTCTTTCGGTTCTACTTCTTCGTCTCGAGTCCACGCGGATGATCAGATGGAGCATAAAATGGCGGGGATTGAGGAACAATTTGCTCATCTCACTGTCACTGTGGCTGCTTCTGGTGGAGGGGCGAAGCAGCAGGATGAAGGACTTATGGGATCGTCATCGGTGCCGCAAGCTGTTTCTGGTGGTGGGGTTCCTGGGGAAAATACGAATTCGGGTTGTTCGGATGATGAGAGATCGGATCATGGGGTTCCTGTTGGGTACAAGAAATCATCGCCTCCACAGTCACTGCCTCAGGGTGCTCCTCTTCAGAATCAACAGAAATCTAGCAGTGGTCATGATTTGGCTTCTCCGGATTCCGTCTCCAGGTTCCCTTTACATCTTTTTTTCTATTCCTCAATTTTGCTTGGATTTACTTTTAGAAAGCAGCTGAGATCGTGTTATATATATATATATATAATTTGGCAGTGATTGTAGTTCTGCAAATCCATTGTCACGCCAAAAACATATGATTCATCAAGACCAAGTTCAAATCCCATCTGGGACCAACGGGGTTCCTACAAACCCTATTGATCCAAACCTTAATATCTCTGATCCGAATGCAAACGCCCGAGTTCCATTACAACAACTCGTTCAACAGTTTGATCAACAGTTGCAGCAGCAGCAACAAGAACAACTAGTTCAGGATTCTAGTTATATATTGCAGCAACCCCAATTTGATCAACAGTTGCAGCAGCAACAACAACAACATCAACTAGTTCAGGATTCTAGTTATATATTGCAGCAACCTCAATTTGATCAACAGTTGCAGCAGCAGCAGCAGCAACAACAACTTGTTCCGGATTGTGATTATATATTTCAGCAACCCCAATTTGATCAACAGTTGAAGCAGCAGCAGCAGCAACTAGTTCCGGATTCTGGTTATATATTGCAGCAATTCCAATTTGAACAACAGCAGCAGGAGCAGCGACAACAGCAGCAACAACAACTTCATGATTCTGTTTTTATATTGTCGCAATCCCAATTTGATCAACAGTTTCTGTTGCAGCAGCAGCATCAACAACAACACCGGAAGCAGCTAGTTCAAGATTCTGGTTATATATTGCAGCAACCCCAATTTGATCAACAGTTGCAACAATCATCTCCACCACAATTCTTACATACTGGTGCAACACATTATATTCATCAACACACTGTTGGGGCTGTTCCAATGTCAGCTTATTACCATGTACATCATTCTCAACAACATCATCATGCTCAAATTGATCAGACGTATCCCCTCTATTATGTGCCGACAAGGCAAACCCAAGCTTACAAGTTGACTGTCCAGCAACTTAGTATGAATGAAGGCACTAATGCAATTCCATCTAGCCATCAACAGACTCCCAATCTGACATCCAACCATCCAAGAAATGCTCCTATTGCCAATCCTGAAATGGCTGCTGACGCAAGAGCATTTGGAACATCAGCTACTGGTACTCCGCAACTGGTTCAAGTCCCAACAGTCAGCAGCAGTATGTCCATTACTCTCAGATTCATCATCCATCACAATCTGTTGCACCTACCTCTTCTGCGCCTGCCACATATGCTTATGAATTCACAGATCCTGCTAATGCTCAGATGTACTCCACTCAGCATCTGGCACCCACTATGCCTTCTCATTTCCAAACCATGACCGGAGGTACTGCAGTAGTTTTGCAAGATTCATATGCTCAACGTTCGACCGATAACATCAATCAACAGATCAAGACTTCTCAACCAATGTAAATCAAGTCAAGAAGAAAACAACAATTTTGAAAGAAGGGTTTGGTTTATAGCTTTAATGTCTGTTTTAATATCTGCTTTGTTAGCGGTATTGGTTTTCTGATATGAATTTGCGAAGGATAATAAGGAACTCTGATGGTATTTTTCTATCTAGTGTATTTCACTTGGATATGTCATATAGGAAACAAAAGTCTATATGAAGATTTCACTGTAAAAAGCTTATACTCAATGTTGGGTTTGCAGACACATGCACTTGCAAGTAAAATTCTTGCTAGATGCTCGTGTATGATCAATCCATTACTCGGTAAGTTTTTCGTGAATAACAAGTTCCACGAGGATGGAATGTTCAAGTCCCTATCCAAAAGAAATTTGAGGTCAAGTGCCTGAAATTAGAAGGCTTTCTATCGGTAAAGTTGTCATTTCTGTTCAAGTTGTGCAGGACCATCAAGTGCCAAAGACATTCATGAGGGATTCCTTCCTGCTCTTATTGACCCTTTGACTGCCATTTCGCCCCAACTGGTTTTCTGGTCGTATAAAATCTCTTTATTTCTGCAAATTCATGGTTTCTTGTCTTGAATTCCGCTAGTTTTTGCATCATTGATATGTGCGCAGCTGATTAGTTTCATTCTTAGGAGTGTGCAGAAGACTTGTTTCATTTATATTGATTGTTTTATTGGTTTGAGATTTGAACACTCTTTAGTACGGTATATGTTTTCTTGTTAACATTATTTATTTCAACAACGTATCTTTCCAAATCTCGTTTGTTATGATATTATAAGTATATAGTAAATTGGTATATATGATTATTTTTCACAATATAAAGGGAAACCAAATTTCTATATGATTATTTACCGGCGTGGAGATTGTTTTGGCAAGAAGAATGTGCAATTTATTTCAACCAATAGAAGATATTAAATATTATTATTTTCTTTTTTCTAGTTTGTCAAAACAAGTAGATTATAACTATTCTTATTCAAGGGTTATCGGGTTAGTCGACGGCTATCTCATACAACCTCACACAATTATCAGCTCCGCAAGAAGCAAGCTGGAGGCTTGTGCAGTTCTCATTCTTCTCTCGGTTCTTCCACACCAAACGGTTAACTGCAGATACATGGCACATGAAAGGATCGAGCCGGATGATCAGAGCAGCGGTCACTCTACCCGTTGAAATGCTTTCATCGCCTCTTTCGACATGTAGGCTCCAAATTTGAAGGAGTCCGGTTTCCATTCCGACTGCAAGAAGCCCGTGATTTCTTTGTCGGTCCAGACCAACCCAAGAGAGGGCATTGACACTGCTGTTGAACGGCGGTAAAGTCAGGAGCTGTTTAACTGAAGATGTCTTCTCCACACCCCAAATCTTCACCGTCTTGTCCCTAGAACCCGTAGCAAATTCATGACCAAAAGGGTTCCAGGAACATGTCCATATTATTCGTTTATGGGCCTCCCGCCTCTCCACAAGGTTGTAATCGATTTCGTCCATGCCTGCAGATAAAAAAAAACCAACAGTCATATATGATCGGGGCATTCAATTGGTGTGAGTAAACAGTATTAGAACACAATTAGTAGATATAAGGGTACCTCCTCTACTGATTTTGAAAACGGAGAACTGGCGATCCCGTGAGACTGCCAAAAGAAGGTTGTCGTCGTGAGAGAATTCCATCTGTCACTGTTAAACTGTGAGACTGCAAGCGGCCGACAGCTTTCCATGAACCCACCTGCCATAACCATATATCGGCTACTGTTGCAGACTGGGCCTGCATACGAATTAGTATTAGAAACAATCGAAGGACTTCTGTGTGATGGTTGATCACTTCAGCACTGCTAAACCAAAAGAGAGATGAATTCGAAACATAAACAGAGACGAGATTACATCGAAACACAAACCACCTTACCAAATTAATTGGAATTAAATTTCTAGTAAAGCCAAATGGTAAGAAAGACACGTACCTTACACGATGAAGCAACGAACATTCCCTCATGATCACAGCATAAAGAAAAAAGCTCATTCCTATGACCATAAAGTTTGTGTGATTCTGGCCATAGTGTATGCCAAGCAAGTTGATCCTCGATAGGAGGTTCAGTTAAAGCAACTGGAACAGCATCAGGAACCAATTCAAGAGTGTCAAGACATCATTTCCGGGATTATCTCGGACCTCATGGGTTGCTGCAGGGGAAAAATTTCCTGTCAAATAATTTGCTTACACAAGTTCATGCACATAAACTGATGGTGATAAACTATATTCATTACAAATATAAAGGCAAGAAAGTTTCAGCATCGAAAGGAAACACGAAAAAAGACGATAAGACCTGACCACATAGTAATTCAATAAAAGTGGGGGTGTATCGCTAAGGATTTCAATGCACATACTGTATATTAGTTATTTACGAAACTAACCGTTTACGTAAACAGGCTTCTGTGATAGACCAAAAGCAGACATATTGGCACCCAAGACCTGAACATCTGCTTGGACGTCTTCTGGAAAACTTGACTGTTCTGAAGTAGCATGATGCAGTGTCTAAGAAAGATAAAGGGGCTTCAAACACTCTGGCAACTTTCTCGTCTGCTCCACTAACAAAACGATGGTTCCCTTTTCCTTGAATGATAGCTGCACAATTAATATCATGCCCGTGAACTTGAGGCCGAGCAATTTCATGCCAGGAGTCCCCATTAGACTGAGGGTCTTGATTGTGCCATGGAGCAAAAATACGAGTCGTCTGCAACAAGAGATTCCAGCATCAACACCGCCATTTGATTTCACGAAAGTTTTGAGGGATGCACATTAATTCTATCGCTATCTCAACCTCTCACCTACATCTTTAACAAGGATGACATCTCACCTGATCATGACTTACTGACAGTATGTACTCACCTCACCTTGCCCAACCGATATCCGTCACTGAAGCAAAATGCCCAGAAGGTACTTTCTGTGGTCGCCAATTATCTGAGCTAACACCGATATTTTTCCACATATGGAATTCGCCACCAAATCCATGCGCCAAGATAGAACGTGCATCAGGGCTCCAATGGCCACCGTAAAAGCCTAGAGCACAATGGCTTAATTCCCCAACAGTGATAACATTCATCCAAATACCAGTTTTCCTCTCCGGTTCCAGATCATCATCGCCTTATCCATTGATGCAGACAAGATGCTTTGGGGTTGATAGAAGCCAACCTCTTCTTCGGCAACCACTGAAGGTGGTTGCCATTGTACAGAATATACCCAATCCTCGTGACCAATCAGAAGAGATTCAAAAGATATTTGATAAGAGAATGAGCCAGCTACGAAAACAGGACCTTCAATATAAGATGCCAGGCTTATTTCACCTCTTCTATGTGTACCCTCTGTGTCAGCTAGAGAACCTCGGAGAGTCAACTTCCATATGCGTATACCTTTGTCCTGAGATGAACTTACAAGTAGAATACTATCACATTCACCACTAAATATAGGTAACGAGAAGTCTAACTTCCTGATCCAATCTGTATGCCCTTTACTTCACAAGCACGAACAAACTGCACACCCAAATTTTCTTTTTTTTAGTTGCCTTGTCTTTTTTCTTTTTAATTTTTTAGGAATGATATGTCTTTATAACAGGTTTATATCTGCCTTTGTGACACGTTTATTTTTACCTTTGTAGCACATTTATCTCTATCTTTTGGCAGTTTTCAGTTTTTTTTGCCGTTGTTTTTGTTTATCTTTTTTTAGTTGGATTTGACATCACTACGACTGATCAATATGACACTTACTTGTTATCATGGTGATCTTCCTTGCTTTGAACCTCAAATTGATTTGGATACGCATTTTGCGTTCGTGGATAGTTTTCTCACGTCGATTGACTCTAATTTGCGATTTGTCGATGATATTTCAATAGTTTCATCCTTTTGTGGTTTGTTTGACGATACAGTCAGATTTATTCGTATCTTTATTTTGTTCGAGTATTTGATTAAGTTTTTTAACATTTTCCTTTTTTGGTTTTATGTGATCTAGGTGGCTAATTTTTGTATCAATGATTATAGGAAAATGTCATAATCATAATTTAGTTTACGTTTACAGTTATACTTATAAATCTTCATTGTAATTCTGGACATTTTCTACTTTTAATAAAACTAACGGTTTTCTATCAAAAATAAAAAAATAAAGTAGATATAAATGTAAATCAAAATTACTTAAAATGAAAAAAAAATCATTAAAATTGTGATTAATTATTCTTAGTTTATAAGTTTCGAAATTAATAAGAAGTAAACTGCTCATATTTTTTAAGAGGTTTCAATTTTAATTTTAGGATAAAGTATGAACCAAACGGTCTCAGTGATAATTTTTTTTATTATTCTTTGAGATATTGGGTTCGAGCATCATGAATGCAAGAGATTAAGTTTTTAATGTTAAATAAATGAAATTTATCTTTAAACATATATTATTTTGTACTTACCGCGTGTTAATAAAAAAATTTGAGATCCAAAGATCTTAAGAGATATTGAGATCAATGAAATATGGAGACAGGCGTCACCTTTTAAGATTATTTAAATATATATAGAAATATATTATTTCATTCTATATTTAGACTCGGTTAAAAACAACACAAGGTGGATAATGATGATCAGTGTTGTTTGCTCTGTATTGTATCATCTCCACGACATCAGTTTCAATATAATCCAATACGAGATTTAGGTTAACCTAAATTAATGCAAACCATCATTCATTGAAAACCAAACAAAAAAGTCTTTTAAATATCTCAACGTATTGTATTAGATTTTGCTTGTGCAAATCCGCGGACGTCTTCTGCCATTTTCACCTATTCATTTCGGAACAAAGAAAAAAGAAAAAAAAAATCTGCGACCGATCGAATAAACCGTATTCTTCATCGCTGCTTGCACGTTATCTCGGTTATGGAGTCGGTGGCTTCCGATATATCGATGATTCTTCCAAGGGTTCTCATTGTCTCTCGACGAACTGTTCGGAAGAATAAGTTCGTGGATTTTGTAGGTATGTTACGTTTTTCGATTTTTGATTTTTTTTTAATTCCTGTATACATGCATACATAGATATAGATGTTAGGTTATGGGTGAAATTCGTACATGCGTATATTTAGAATTTTTCTTAATCAAATTAACGATGTAAGTATGTGTGTATATATATGAATTTTGCAAAAT